CCAAGAGTCTCTACACAAAGCTCGGCTTCAAGAAGAACTTTCTGACGGTGCGCGCAATAATGCGGCCGCACGAAATGGCCAGTGGCGACCTGCAAGGCGGCGGCTGTGGCGGAGGAGGAATCTCCTCGATCGAGGACCTCTAGGAAAACAAAAGCAACAACAACAGCAACACCAACAGAGCAAATATTAATTAAACAAAAATACTAATTTAAATTCAAATTTACGGCTGCCCACGCACATTCAAGCAAAAAGCAGCTTCACCAAAAAATGTTAAGAAATTTAAGGAAAAAAAAAACATAAAAAAGAGTTCCCAAAAAAAAAGATTATTATATATAAAATGAGTAAACTGAAAAAAAAAGCATTTTTTTACATTTACAATTAAATTATGGAAGAAAAAAAAGTAAAGAAAATTACGAGAATACAATACACACACACACACACCAAACTATCTAATTAATTGAACAAATTAATTAATTATATATAAAGAACGAAATTTTCGATAAAGCAAAAGGCAAAGTAGAAAGCTGTGTTTACTTAAAAAAAAATAAAACTATGATTATGAACGAGAGACAAAAAAACAAAACGTGTGCTTTAAGACAATTGGGAAGTGGATGAAACAGAACTTATTGCTCTTCTCGAGAAGAAATGTAGAAGTTACATTTTTCTCCTTCTTCTCTCTCTCTTTTTTTATATTGTTGTTGTATTATTTTTTTTTTAATTATTATAATCATCAAATATCGATTGTTGTTAGCTGGCTGTTTCCTCGAGCCTGCGTCCGATTCCGCCGAAAACAAAACAATAGCAACAAATGAGATCCGAAATGCAAGGAAGACGCGACACACGATCGCTTAGGAATCGCGCGCGCAGGTTGGGGCGAATTGCCATTGTGATATTTTACCTCTAGATGAACGTGGATAAAAAAAAAGGCACGAGAGATTTACGCAACAGAAACAGAAGCAATTGAATCGATTGATTGTGCGTGCGCTTACAGTGTGTGTGTGTGTGTATTGTGAGTGAGTGAGCGAGTGAGTGAGTGACTCTGATGATTGGAAAGGAAACAGATTTATGTTTCGTTTTGCGAAGATGAAGATGAGGACTTCACTTTTTAGGCCTACGCGTAGCGAGCGCTAGTTGGACTAATTAGGAGCGACCAAAAGAAAAGGCGACGAAATTGTGCTGCAGAGGATGAAGAAGTAGATTGATGATGATGATGATTTGCAATTTGCGTATTTTCCTCCTCCTCCTCACTGAAACGCAGAAAGATACACACAAAAGAAAACAAGACTCTTGAAAACTGATCAAGTTCGTAGGTCGCATTTTGTTTTGTTTTTTCCCTTGACTTGATCCAGCTTTACACCGCACAAAAAAAAAGAACCTCTTCGCACCATCAAAACTAATGCGATTCGAATTTTTAAGAAGAATGATTTATAAATCTTGTAAATGCTTGATTTAAACCATTTTATTTACTTTTCCAAAGCTTCCTCCATCATCATCGTCTTGCGGTTAAAACTTTGTTTGTTTGTTTGTTTGTTTGGTATGTAAAATGTATCGAAGAAGATTGGAAACAAACGAAAACGTTTTTTTATTTATATATTGTATAGTTTAGACACACTCTCTCTCTCTCTCTTTCTCACTCTGTATACATACGCATACACACACGCGCCCTTCCTCTTTAAGAAACAAATAAACAAATCCCAGCCGACTCTTCCAGAATTGGTATTGTTAGATGAAGAAGAAAGAAGAAGCTTTGTTCAATCGCATGTTCAGAACACACACACACACCTCTGTCTCTCTCTCTCTTTCTATATCTGTTCCTGTTTACTACAATCATTTGTGTATTTCTATTTATATTTCCTCCATTCCTCGAGAGCTGTTCGAGGATGAAAATAATGCAGTTTAAAAACATTTTGATTAACTCTTTTTGGAAGCGTATTAAAAATAGAAAGCAATAAAGTGCCTGAACATTCCAAATACATACACACACAGAGACACTTATTTCTCACAATTTTCCCCATTTCAATCCAAACTCAGTTTTCGAATACAAATAAAATTTCGAACCTAAATCCGGTCCTGGATTCAATAATATATACGCTGCGCTTAAACTTGTTCGATTTGATGATCACAGATGGCGCGTCGAGTACCTTCTTACTAATTTATTGCAATGCAGTTTGAACTCGTGTATTCTTTATGAAATTACATACAAATTTTCCTGTTACGTTTATAATGCGTAAATCTATTCCGAATGCGCCCTAAGCTCTAACGTCAATTCCAATTTGCAGGTTATGTGTCGCTTACATAAAAAAACAGTGTAGGCTTTGAAAACTAAGATTTTATTATTGAAAATGTTGTGTTGATGTGATAATTTATTTGAAGTTGAACAAGATGAGTGCGTGTACAGCGTATATTAATTTGCTTAAGGTATTGTAGTTTCTATTGCTTAAAGATTTGTTGAAATGCTAAAAGTTTCTTTCGATGCAGGTGCCACAAAGGTGTGTGCTGCTCAGGCAATGCCTACGAAATACTTCGAGCACAGCCTTCTCCCACAACCAAAAATGTTTAGTTGCTATGACAAATAAGCAGTACATGTCCACGGTACAGAGTAAGAGCATCATAGCGAATCGGGAGGAAGAACCATCTCTTTTAACCAGAGTTCTAAAGAAGTTACCATTCTTCGGAGTCGATAGAACTGTATGTAGGAAATCTGATTTTAATTCAAAATTACGTTTAATTAAATTTTGATTTGATTTTTGCAGAAACTGAATTTGGTGGGATTCATGATGTACGAATCGATAGCGGATGGAATCAATTACGGGGAATTCTTCGAGGAGTTCTCTCTGCCCGATACATTCTATTCGTGGTTCGTTGTGACGGAACTGCATCTGTGGATGCTGACGGTCAGGTGTATGGCGGAAGGTGATGACGGCCGTCTCGTGAGGAATCGAATGGTCGAGGCGCTCTGGACCGACGTGGGATTGAGAGTTAAAAAGATTGGAGTGAGTTTCCTTTTTTGGATTTGTTGAATTATGTAATGTGTTCGTGTTCGATTTTTTAGGCTGCGAATCCTGCGGGAATGAGGATGCAAGTTGCCGAATTGTCGGAACAATTGCAGGCGGCGTTGATCGCGTACGATGAGGGTTTGCAATCGGACGATGTCGTCCTGGCCGGAGCTCTCTGGAGGCGAATGTATCAACAGAACGACGTCGATCCGGAGCATCTTGAAGCGCTCATCAAATACATCAGGAGGCAAGTTCGTCTGTTGGACAGCAAGGCGAAAGTCGATCTGTTCAGGACGACGAAGATGACTATCTGGGAGCCGTCGAGTGAAAAGCTGTAAGAATGATTTTTAACATTATGTAAATAAACTAGTTTAAAACAATTCCGAGTAGAAATTCAATTCCCACATTTTCAAAACTGTACTAGTTACAAAAGTAACAATTAGTACTTTAAAAAGCTAAAGCATTTAGCTTTAATTAGAATGCTCATTTATAACTGTATCTCATATAATTATTGAGAAAATTGATGATTTTCCGAGGCTTATAAAAACAACTTCAAAATAGTTCGACTACCCATCATCAGATGACGCTGATCAAGCACAATTAAACGTTCGTAACTCTATAATTAATTAAGCAATCATTAAAATGAACTGAACATTACACAACAGTGATGAATCATTATCAATCAACTAATACAAATCATTAATTAAGCCGCAAATTAAGAGTCTCTGATTAGGTTGAGTAATTAGAGCGTTATGTGATATTATAAATTAGCTATAATGTTCTAGTTACATTTATCAGTCGATTCATAATATTTACTCTTTAATCTGATGGTTATTAAATGAGTTTTTGAAAATAATGGCTAAGCGACATCTGTCTGTAGATCTCTTTGACTTCGCAGCGGGAATTTTCAAATTTACTTTTCCTTCTTTCTTGAATTAATGTTACACTTGTATTTAGATAAATAAATTACATTTTTCGTGTATTATTTGTACTGTGAAAGTATTGTAATTACCAATTAAAATTTTAGTTTTATTAAGATCTTTTGGTTATGCTATTCGAATTTGCATTATGTAACAGGGTCTATAACCTGTAAAAAATCTTCCTTTTGTAGGCTTTAAGAGATAAAGAACATTATGTAATTCTCGGTTTCAGTTTGGTTTTCTCTGTTTGCTAAATGGCTGGCAGGGTGGTGAAGGTTTGGAGGTTAGGTAGGATAAACTATGGGGATGCTCAGAAGGTGCAAACTGCTTTGGCGCAGCTCCACCATTCCAGCCCCAACGATGACACTCTCAACAGCATGCTGCTGCTCGAGCACACACCTGTGTACACTGTGGGCATCAGGAGGAAAGATTACACAGAGGATGAGGCGGAACGGCTGAGAGCTACAGGTTTCCTAGCACAATTGTAAATTATGTGGAACTGTGTTGTGGTAGCAGTAATGTTGTGCGTGTGTTTGAAGGGGCTGATTTCTATGAGACCAATCGTGGTGGTCTGATCACTTTCCATGGACCCGGTCAGCTTGTGGCCTATCCCATAATCAATTTGAGACAGTTCAAGGAGAGCATGAGGTGGTATGTCTGTCACATCGAGAAGACCATCATTGATCTGTGCAGGAAATTCAGTTTGGATGCATCCACCTCTCCGCACACCGGCGTTTGGATCGGCGACAATAAAGTCTTTCGCACTGATTGCTGAATGAGAATTGGATCGAAATTTTCTAATGTATGATTGTTTTGCAGGTGTGCGCGATTGGCGTGCACGGAAGTCGTTTCATCACCACGCACGGTTTAGCATTGAATTGCAACGTCGATCTGAATTGGTTCAACAATATAGTTCCGTGCGGGATAATCGATAAGGGCGTGACGAGTCTCTCGAAAGAAGCCAACGTCGATATTAGTGTAGAATCTGTGATACCCAAATTCCTGGACAGTTTCTCCGACATCTTCCGATGTTCTTTCGTCGAGTTCCGGGAGGAGCAGAAGGACGATCTGCTCACAAAACTGTGCATCGAGAAGCCACGAGCCGACGATTCGGTCATCTTCGGGAGCAAACGCAAACAAATCTAATATCTTTATACGAAACATTTATTCCTGCTACTTTCCTTACGACTCACTTAAATATAAAATACAAAAATATAATACAGATTGTTGTAACAAATAAGAAAAAAAACAAACAAAAAAAGAGAGTAATTATTAGCACACTTGATGAAAGAAAAAACTAAACACCTGTTACCTGTAGAAGCTTAACTTTCGCCTCGGAAGCTTCCTCCCCCTGAACAATAGCTGAAACTCAAAAACTTTCGTTTGATTAATAATGCACGCTCAATATCTTAAAAAATTCTAACAGTCTGAAACAAGAAAATTTAATTTTTTTTTTGTTGTTTTGTTTGGAACGATACATTTTGCATTTTGCTTTTTCGATACTCTACCCATTTTTATTAATAACTCAGCCGCCAGCAGACGCTCTGGACTGAAAATAAATCAAATTCGTACAGTATTGTTGCAGTGCAAACAGTTTAGAGAGAATATATAAAAAAATTGATGCGCAATTCTTTTCGGTTTCGCAAAGAATGGTGCATCAATTAATTAGCGAAAAATCTACCACACCTTTTGCTATAATAAATCTCTCTCTCTCTCTCTCAAGTGCGCTCAATCGTGAGCCGCTACCGCTTCGAGGTTGTACACCTGCAAAATTAACAACTTATATAACTAACTTCTTCCGATGAGGAATAACAATGTTAATAATGCGTAAGGAAAGTGCTTTAAATAGTTAACTGACATTTTTGCTTTTAAAGTAATTCACGAGTTGTCGTTGCACGTGGAGCAGAATTCCAGATCCACGCGGTTCCTTGAGATGTGCAGGCACACGCCTGGCGCTTCCTCTTTGTCGTCATAAACATCCAGCATTGGTAAACTGTATGAATGATCATCGATTTGGTTCTCCTCGCTCATATCCAAATCACTGAACAAGGGCTCATTGAAGTCTGGTAGCCAGTGATTGATGGGTGCACTGGTTAAATGCCTATTGATGGAATTGCCCACGTTCATACCTGAAACCCAATAAAAAAAACGTTAGTAAATCAATAATTATCAATTTAACTGTAACTTACATGTGTTTAAATTGATGGACTGCAGCAGTTTCCCGATTTCCGTGCTGTTTGCTAGAACGTTCCTCAAGTATTTAACATCTTTTTCATGCTTGCAGATGACCTGCGTTTGCGTCTCCAACATCGACTCGAGCTTCTTAACCTTGGCCTTCTCCTTGGCCAATTCTCTCTCTAGATTTTCCATGTACATTTTCTTCCTCAGTCTCACCTCCCTCGCCTTGATCGCATTATCCGTGAACACTTTCGGTTCGCGCGTTTTCCTCCGCACGCGGGAAAATCTCTTCGAGCAATCCGAAGAATCCTCAGAATCGGTGGAATTGGAATCGAAGTAGGTTTTGCGAGACGCCATTGCTGATGGTGGTTACCTTCTTCTTTTTGCTTCTGATTCGTTTCGTATTCGATTCACGCTCTACAAACTGGTTAATAAGTTTCTATTCGTGCAAACAGCTTTTAATACTCAATTTGCACTCGCAACGGGATTAATTTCAATGCTCGAAGTCCTTTAAAAAGAAAACAAACAGTATTTGGAGCGCGCACACACCCAGCCACCATAACACACACTTCAAGGTACTTCTTCAAATCGTCCAGCAGAGGTCGCCGCAAATCTATTTGGATCACTGGAGAATTGAAAACCAATTGGATACGCTTGAACATGATTTTTTTTAATCATATAACTTTTCTGTATTTCCTAGTTGATCAATATGAAAAGGCGTAATTGCTAATGCTAATCGTTTCGAAAATTTGAACGCGAAGGCGGAAGAGATGTGCGCGTGCGCAACTCGCGAAGATGTCGGCAGAGGGCCAAGTCGTTTCGTGCATTCCAAATACGAGTAAGATGTCGAAGGCGAAGAAGGTTTTGGAGGAGGCGCGCGAAATCCAAAATCCCGAATTGGATTTGGCTGATAAGGGAATCGCCAGCTTCGAGGAGTTGCCCGGTCTCCGTAAGTATTTACCATCATGTTACCAGATGTTAAGATGACCAAATTTGGTTCTCTCCGGGAATCCAGTTTTCGAGCCCGACAAAAGTGGGCTGGGTCGTAAACAAAATTGCATACAACGAGTGAGCGAAACGGCGGTAAATTTAAATTCGTATTTCCTTTTGCAGTGAACATGATGAACATCACTAGACTCACATTGAGCCACAACAAAATCAAAGGTAAAATCTGCACACATAACAAACTGCAATTACTCACTTTCCAATTGCAGTTGTTCCACCAGCTCTCGCCAACTTGACCAACTTGGAGATCCTCAATTTAGCTAACAACAACATCGAGGAGTTACCATTATCGTTGTCTTCTATGCCCAAGCTGAGGATTCTGAATCTCTCCATAAATCGACTGTACTCTTTGCCAAGAGGATTCGGAGCATTCCCAATCCTAGAAGTCTTAGATCTCACCTACAACAATCTCAACGAGAAAACGCTCTCAGGCAACTTCTTTCAATTAGGTAATCAATCAATTGATCTCCATAGCAACAAACAATTTACTATAATCAATTTGCAGAAACCCTGAGGGCTCTCTATTTGGGTGACAACGACTTTGAGTACATTTCAGATGAAATCAAGAATCTGAAAAACTTGCAAATTGTGAGCATTAATGTAAATGTACTTGACTTTAAATAATAATAATACGTGATTTGCAGTTGGTGCTGAGGGAGAACGACATAATCGAATTGCCAAAGGAAATTGGTGAATTGGTTAGACTACGCGAATTGCATTTACAGGGTAACCGTCTGACGTTGCTTCCGCCGGAAATTGGAAATCTGGAGGTGACCAACAAATCTGTGTTCAAATTCGAGGGCAACGATTGGGTGACGCCGATCGCGGATCAGTTGCAATTGGGCGTTTCGCATCTGATGGATTTCCTGAAAAGCGAAACATACCGGATGTAAGATTAGCAATTACGGATTTTAAACTCTACTGTGAAATAACTTCATTTTGTTGTTGTAGTTTGTACGGAAGATATCAGCAGAACAAACCGCAAGTGCCGCCGCCTTGCATCGATAAAGCCAAGAAAGCTTCGAGGATCAGATGATCCGTAACTGCCAAAATGACTACGACTAGTTAGAGCGAGCGATTAATCCTCTTCACTAATTAGTAGCAATATCAATAATCAAGTGCCTTATGTTTTTTTTACAAAATTAACAAATTAATTTATTACCATATATATATTTTATATAACTCTCCAAGGAGAAACACACAGATAATATATCTTATGCTTTTATTTACTTTTGTGATTAAATCCTGTACGAACAACTTTTCATAAGAAACATTTAGGCAACCAACATTGCACCAAATCCAATATTTAATTAAAAGACTAAAAACATTTGCTAATTGAAATACGAGTAATAAATTGATCTATAAACTAACTAAACAATTAAATTTACTGTAGTAATCGATGAAAATATTAAAGTTTTTTAAATTGTTTCTCTTTAATTGCAAATTGATGAAGCGCAGAAATTAGTCTGATTCTGGTGGTGGCATTAAGAAATGTATCGAAGAAAACAAAAGAATTCAAATTTCTAACCTAAATTATGTTCATCTCGCGAGCTTCGGCAAATGGTAATTTGTTGATAACAGAAGGAAGGTGAAAATGTTGAGCGCAGAAATTAGCGACATCAAGTTCATATACAATGTGCTCAAAATATTGTGCCATCAAGAGGTGAGTGCATACATTTCTTATAGGATAAATGAGCGCTATTTTTTATTTTTTTTTTTGAATATATAAAAACAATAATAATTTTGTAGTTTGCAGTGGTTCAGCCGATGGAGGAGGGTTTGAAGATAACGCTGAGTGACAACAAATGCTCGGAGACTTCGATTTACATCCCACAGAGCGCTTTCAGCACCTACAAGATTCAGGACAATTCCGATGTTAAATTCAAAGTGAGCCTGAAGGTGCTCACCGAGTGCTTGCACATTTTTGGAGATGAGGGCCATTCCATGCTGAAAATGTCTTACAAGAAACTAGGGGATCCTCTGATTCTAATGTAATTGTAATTTATTAGTAGTTTCTGGTAGTAAATTGTTTTTTGGTACAGGTTGAAGCAGAGCGATGAGAATATAATTGTTGATTGTGAGCTGAGCACGATGGATGCAGACGAATTCGTTGATATCAGTTTAGCTGATGAATGCAACATGAACAACATTGTTTTGGCTGGGGATAGTTTCTTCGACATCATCAGTGATCTTGATATGCTCGCCGATGACATACAATTCGTGATCAGCAACAAGGCTCCTTACTTCCAGATCACCACAACCAGTGTTTTGGTAACAGATCGAAATAATGAATAAGTGGCAGATTATTAACGTTTGCTTGCAGGGCATCTCTCACGTGGATATCTCCAAACATTCCGATATGGTGAATGCCTTCAACTGCAAGAGCGATTTCAAAGAGAAGTACTCCTTCAGCATATTCAAGCAACTGATCAAGATCATGGCTCTGGCTTCGAAGATCTCCATCTCGACTGGCAACTCTGGCCTGCTGGGCTTCCAGATCATCATCAATTCAGATGACAGACAGTTGTTTGTCGAGTACTATGTCACTGCTCTCATCAATGACAGTGATGACTGAGTGAGCGAAAGGTAAGTTGAAATCATTACCAAAAAGAAAACAATCTTATTTATTTATCAAAGAAATGAAACATTAAAAAAAACATATTTTTTGGTTTCATTCTTCGTTCCCCTCCAAAAATTCATATCAATACAATCTTTTAAGGAATTGAGGGTACACACACACACACATTCAGTTAATAGAAATTCTTTTGGGTTTCCTTTTTTTTTTATTATTTTTTTTTTCTTCCTGACAGAAAAGTAATTGAAAAATGTAGATACAGTAAAACAAAGAATAAAGACATGTGTAAAAAGTGTGAAGAAACGAAAAAGTCTCATCTTTTGAAATCTCCTTCAACGCAAGTTTTCGTATTTTTTTTTTCTTTGCGCGCACACAAATTGTTCATCACCACAACGACAACAACAACAAGAACAAAGAAAGGGGGAAAAAAAATGATAACTTAGAAAAAAAAAACACAAAAAAAAGAAAGAAAATAATAATATGATAATAATTACGTAATGATATAATAATTAATTAATAATACACTTGTGTTATTATATAGATTGTATACAGTCTCTCTCTAAATCCATTTGGGGGCAAAAAATAATAATAATAATAATAAATGAACAAAAAAAAAATAATTAAATTTGTAACAACACTGAATTATAATATTATATCTTTATATATAAATTAGAAAAAGTTTTTTTTTTCTCTCGTTCATTAGAAATAGGTATATTTTTTTTTCGATTTTTTTTTTGTTGTATTTTTTTATCACACCGATTTTTGCTTTCGTTTATTTTTTTGTATTTTTTTTTTGGTTCAATGTTTGTCTGTTTTTTTATTCAATTACACAACATTTTCCTTTAAATATTAATCATATATTATTTTCCAATAATATATGTGTAGTATGTAAAAGAAAGAATCGAAGAAAATTTGTGGGAGGTGTTGTGGGGGCGGGGCTCGGTTTGTTTTTTTTATTCAGTGTGTATGTGTTTTGTGGGGGGTTGGTTGGTTGAGTGTGTAGTTTTAACTTTCTACCAAAACAAAAAAGACATCATTCTTCGCTAACTTGTTAATTACTAAGATTCTCCTCCTTCGCGTGGGCGTGTCGGTGGAAGACCGACACAGCATCACCATATATAATCTCCAAACATCATCATCATCATCAGACAGTCACATAAGAAAATAGGGGGGTCGGGGGGATGGATGCATATTATGGGGGCGTGGCGCGTTGACGGTCGTGAAAATAAACGGCAGAGCGGTTGGTGGGTGTTAGAATGTGGGAGGGGCGATTGGCCAAGTAATATTGGGGGGGAGGGGCACGCATCACCGACAAACGAACCGACACGGAGATTACAAGAATTATAATATGTCGGGGTGTGGGGGGATGAGATCGAACGAGCGCGCGCTTATCTGTTCGTCGTTAATCAATCTCATTATTAAATTAAACATTTACCGAATATCACAAAATATAAAATTGATGCATATCAAAAGAAAAAAAAATAAATAATAATCACAAACTAAGTAAACTAAACACTGATTGTTTTAGGGTGAACTTTTGTTTCTTTTTTTTTTTGTCTCTTATCTCTCCTCTCCATTTTTTCTCATTAATTTTTGGCCAGTGTTTGCGGGGGTGCTGCTGCTGCTGCTCTTTCTTATTATATTTTTTTTTTAGTATCTTTCTCTTTCTCCGAAGAATACGTTCAGATGCGAATTATCTGTTATATATATTTACAAAAAGAAAAGATAACACAAAACAAAGAAAAAAAAATAATAATATATAAATGATCATAGGTTTTTCTTCACCACCTGAATAATGAATAGGAAGAATCCGACAAAGCGAAACGAATATTTTCTCATTCCTTTCTCTCTCTCTATCTTTCTCTCACACTCCTCGTTTTCCGTCTCCGCTCAATCTATATTTCACATATATAAAATTAAAATAAATATTCTCATTAATCCATCCTCTTGCTAAATTAAAAAAAAACTTTTGTTCCTCTTTCGCTTACTCTTTTTAATATTCTCTTGTTTGTTTGCTTTTTTTTGTGTAATACCTTTTTTTTTAATATATATGTAAATATATTATGTATATACCGACGATGATTGGATAACATAAAAGAAAGAAACACGTTTTTTTTTTAGTACTTAACTCCTTAAATAATAGAACCGAAAGTGTTGCTTAGTCTTTAGCACTGTTCTCGACGTCCTTGCCGACGTCGATCTTGTCGGAGGCGCCGCCCCCGGGCTGCTGATTGGCTGCCCCGAGCTTGTTGGCGCCACCCTCGACGAGCTTCGAGTCTTCCGATTTGTCCACTTGATTGTTAAGACCTACGCCTGGGGAAGAGGCAGAGAAGAAGAGTTTGGGTTTGAATAGCGTTAGAAGGCGGGGGTGGGCGGTTTGTTTGTGGAAGCGTTTGTTGATTTCGGGGGGTTGGGGGTTGGTTTCTTAGGGAGGTCGGGGCTTTTCGTGCTATGTAAGTGTGTGTGTGTGTGCGCGTGTTTATGTGTTTTACTGTTTGTTATTGGATGGTGGTGAGGAGGTGTTGGTGGTGGTGGTGTTGTTGTTGTCTGTACCTTGGCTACTGTAATATTGCCGGGATGCAGAACGATTGCCAGAATTGTTGGGCCGGCCACCGTGTTTCTGGCCATTGTTCTGCATGGAACTGATGCCGTAATTGCTGTTGGGGCGTTGAATGGGAGCCGGGTATCTCGACTGGAAATGGAAACAAGTTTAGTGAAAAGAGTCCGGTCGAGCGAACGTATTGAGAATAGTTACAAATACCTGTCCGCTCGTCGGGTTCGTCACGTTCTGGTACAAGTATCCAGATTTGTTGGGTGCGGTGGGACTGGGCTGCGGCTGTGGCTGCTTGCAGCTCTGCCGAGATTTGGGCGATGGGATTTGGGACGCTGAAAACGAATGAAACGAGAAAGAGAATAGTAGTAGTAGTAGTAGTAGTAGTAATAATATTTTCAGCCGTTGCTGTTATTCTTGTCGTTCATACAACTGGATGGTGCAGAGGCCGTAGCCGTACTATATTTATTATTATTATTATTGCTTCTGTTTAAATCTAATTAGGTCTGTAGAATTTTCGATGGTGGTGCATACCGGTATTGAACACTGAGGAAAGGACTTCCTGCTGGGTGCCGGGACTCCTCAGCTGCTGCGATCGTCCGCCCTGCTGCTGATCCATCTGTTGGCTGCTGCTCTTCATGTAAGAAGCGGCGACCGCTGCCCCCGGGGGCATGTTGGACGCGGCTGCGACGGCTGAGCGGAATTGCTGCGCGTTCATCGCTGCCATCATCGGTCCCGAGAGGAACGGAGAGTTGAAATTCTGCATGCCCGCATTTCCTGTGTGCGACTGGCTGTGGGTGCCGAAGACGTTTCCCTGCAGTCCGTATCCGGCCTGATGCTGGTGCTGCGGTGGTGGAGGCGGCGCCATCTGCGATGAGTTGCCGGGCGGCGGCTGCTGGAAGTAGCCGGCTGTCTGTCCACCTGCGCACAAAACTAAATTTAAACTCATGTCATGTCTTTCCTTATTAATCAGGATGGAATTACCTGTGGATCCGGAATAGTACGAGGAAGAGGGCTGCAATCCGGCGACAACGCTGTTCTGCGGCGGCGGCGGTGGTCCTCGCTGCATCACACCCGTATTCTGCAGATAATTGGCTTGGATGGCCGGGTCGTAGGTCATGTAGAGTTGCTGGCCTTGCTGCGACTGCTGCTGGTACGCCTGACCGACGCCGCCTGCTTTTGTGCCGATGGCGCTGATCTGCTGACCGCTTGGCTTAACGGTGGCCGACATCAAAGAGTTCGAAGTGGAAGAGATTAACACGGTCGTCGGATTGTTCAGCTGCTGATTCTGGCCGAACGGTCCGGTTGCTGGTAGACGGTAATTGTTATAAATATCTTGTGGTCCTTGAGGGTTGGGCGGTCCGTGCGGTTGCGTTTGCAGATACATGGATTGCGCAGAGTATGGACTGGAGGCGGTCTGTCCAAGCCCATAAGAGTATTGCGAATACTGCGATCGACCCTGGCTGTTGAGCACCTGACTCTGATCGAGCTGGAAAGTACCATATAATCCAGACTGCGGCATCTGTTGCGATGAGTTGTAGAGCACCGTCGGCGGTGATGGTATTGCCGGAATTCCGTATTGGGTGTTACCTCCTAGTCCGGCCGTTTGATAACCGAGATGCTGATTCGTCGTGTACTGTTGCGGTTGAGGTGCCAACGCGCTAATCACCGTCGGCATCTGCGGCGGTGGCGACAACGGATGTCCAATCAGATTCGGTCCGACCATCGTCGAATGCTGCTGATGTCCACTTCCGCCACCGCTTCCACCACTGCTACCACCACCACCACTTCCACCTCCTCCGCCTGATCCTGCTCCACCGACACTTCCACCGCTGCTGACGGTGTTTATGACGGTGCTTTGACCACCGCTTCCGGCGACCTGCTGTGTCGGCTTCACCTTGCACACGTTGGTCGTGTTGCTGTTCGATGATGCGCTATTGGCCGACGGACTGTACCCTTCATGATTGTCATCGTTCCCATCTCCGGATTTATTCGCGAAGCCCTGGTCCATACCATTCGGATCGGAACCGAACGAGGATGAGTAAGTTTCATCCTGCTGCTGATGCTGCTGTTGTTGTTGCTGCACTTCGATGACGGTCGGCATCTCCCACACCTTCTTCACCGACTGAATCTTAATGTTGAGATCGTCGGCGGTCGACGGCGAAATGGTGTTGTTGCTGCTGGTGATTGTGTGCATCGTCCTCGGCAACGACATGTTCTTGTTGCTACCCTTGTCCTCCGTCAGATGCGAGATTTCGTTCTCGAAAAAGTCCAGCTTAATATCGGCCGCCTTGTCCGCATCGAACGCCAACTGCATGTTAATATCGCTCTTGTCGTTGGTCTTGTTGTTCAGCAATTCTCCGATCTGCTTATTTCCAAAGTTCATCTCCATGCCGCCGTTGTTATCCTCCAGCGACGATGGCTTACTTCCACTGCCCCTTTTATCATTGTTGCGATTCCTGCAACCCGGCGCAGACTTGTAATTAGTGTTCTCGAAGATGATCGTCTTGAGTGGATTCGATCCATCGAGCACTTTATCTCCGCCGTCCGCTGATTGCTTGCAATTGGGATCCTTCTGGTTGATATCGAGAGCGTGAAGAACGTCTGGATTCGCGTTGGCATCCCTCAATTGACCCACCAGAGGCTTCTCCCACGCACTCACCATTCCCAAATTGCAGGCAGTGTTGTTTCCACCACCGTCCTTCATTCCGTAATGCTGCTGCATGTTCTGGGCCATCTTGTTCATATCGTTGATCTCATTCACGTTCAAGCCTTGCTGTTGCATCTGCGCCTTGTGCAGACGATTGTTCTCGCGCTGCTTCACCAACCTTGGAGGCAATTTGTTCTGCCTCGGCCTCTCGAACGGACCCTTGTTGCTCTGCGGTTGAGGCATATTCGGTGGCGGATTCACAGGTGTCGCCATCAGCGATGGGATGTTCGCAATCTGCTGCTGCGACAGATTATGCACTGGCTTCGGTTTCATGGCCGTCGGCATCATTACCTTGCTATCTTTCTGTTCGATCTGAGACTTGGCCATTGGCTGCTGCTGCTGCTTCATCTCCGTCGACTTTGGTCTCTTCTCCAAGTTCTTTTTGCTCTTAACTTCTTGGAAACCATCGTCACCGGGTTGCTGAAGCTGTTCAGATTCGGGTTTAACTTCTTCGCTCAAATTCATCTCAGTCATCGCGTTCACCAGATCTTTGCCTTTATCATCTTTCATGCGCGGCGGCAGCGATGCGTTCGAGAGCTGGGATTGAGAGAATTGTCTCTTGTCGTTGGTTGACATCCTCGGAGATGGTGCTGTTGCACTGTTCGCGTTTCCACCTCTCCCCCTTTGGGATACGCTTCCGGGCATTGCAGTTGATAAAGTCGGTTGCTGTTGCCGCTGCTGCTGTTTCGGCTTCCTATTCTTATCCTTGACATCGTCCGAATTGTCGGAGACATCGCCACCGTCCCTTCCGGTCTTCTTTTTGTTGAGCGTATCCTTACGCTTATTCATATCGAGCAACTTCTTTTTATCGTCCATGGTCATCATCTCATCGGAATCCATTTTTTTGACGAGCTGTTGCTGCTGCTCTTCGTGTGGGAAAGGACTTTTAACTGGTGGCAGGCCGTAGCCGTCCATTCTCTTGCAACCGCCTCGACCACCTCTAAAGCTCGAAGATCCGCCTCCACCGCCGCGTCCATGTCGCGATGGCTCTCCTCGAGGCACGTAACCGACGCCCGCACCAACCGGTTTTTTCTCCGTAATGCAATTGCTGGATGCATTCGCTTTATCATTTTTCACGTCCTTGTTTCGTTCATCCTTGTTGTCTCCTTTCTTGATGAGCTTCGGACTCACCTGAGACTGCTGGTCTTCGTTATGATGCTGCAACGTGGCATCATCGGCGGAGCCCTCAGACTCTGATGCGTGCCAATCGCCACCGGTTTTGATCGAAGATCTCGATATGTTGGATCGCGAAACGCCGCCACCTCTTGGAGGAGGCACAGCTCCGCCCTTCTTCGACCACATGTTTCGATTGTAGACGTTTCCTCCGCCGTTGGCGTTTCCGCTGCGACTGTTCTGAGAATCGGACCTTCCTCTGCCGGTAAGATTCGCATTTTTACTTTTATCATCCCTTTTGTCTTCGCCATCTGCAGCGGACATCAATTTTTCTTCCAACTTCTTATCGATCATCTCCATGAATTTGGCATTCTCCGGTGCTACCGTGCTCGGTGAGATCGCATCCGCCCAAGCCCTTGGGCCCATGTCACCTTTCCGTGCGGCACTCCATGGATCGTCCTCTTTCTCCGGTGTCTTTTCCAGAGACTTGTTCTTGTTATCCATATCGCTGATAGCGCCCCTCTTGAGTTGCGTGAGATTACGCTGCTTCTCGTTACGCAAATCGTCCGCTTCCAATTTATCTTTGGTAATCGGTCCCGGCACCTGCATTTTATGCTCCTTGATCTGCTGATGCTGCTGCTGGTGGCGCTTGGCATCCTCTTCGAAGTGCGTCTCGGCCCACGAATTGTACTCACGTGGTTCGGAGTGACGGGATTCGCGAGACGCTCTGGAGTCGCGACTGTCCGGCCTCTGAGGTCGATCACTGCTTCCGTATCTCTCCATTCTTCTCTCCTGCCAGTCATCGTTGCTATGTTGCCTGTTCAGGTTATTATCATCTTTCCTATTATTTCCGTATTCGTAATCATCACCGGACGACTTCCTTCCAGAGGGTTCGGAATTGTTTTGTTGCTGGTTGTTACCACCACCGCTGCCGCCGTACGGACGATGCCTGCCGTAGTTGTATTTATTATAATCATCATCCTTCTCGGATTCATTGTCATTCCTGTGATTCTTCCTGTTGGCGGGGCTGGTCTTGTTCATGCCTCCTCCTCCACCACCCCAACGATTCGATTCAAATGCAAAACCGCCTCCACCATTTCCACCGCTCGAAGATAAGCTGCCTTGCTGCTGACCGTTGTTCATCTGCTCCTGCTGGCGCTTTTGGAAACGCGGTGGCAAATTGTGCTGGTATTGTCGTTTGAAGTTGGCCGGGTCTTTTTCGCTGCTGCTACCGCCGCCGCCCCTCTGGTCTTTGCGGGTGTACGTTGCACGCCCTTCGATTTGCGTCAACTGACGGAAATCGTTTTTCGTTGGCAGCGGTTGTTGCTGCTGCTGGTGCTGTTGTTGTGGTGGTTGCTGTTCCTGCTCGGATTCTTTGGGTCGTTCCCATTCCGGTAGGAGAATGGAAGCGGGCGCCGGAGCGTTCACCAAATCGTCCTTTGCAGGTGGTTTGCCCTGCTGCATCTTTTCGTCCATATCCTTGTACTTGTTTTGCTTTGCCTGATAGAATTTCTTTTCTTCCTCCTCCTTGCGCAACCTGGCGCGCTCCCTAGCGCTCGCAACCTCCTGTTGCTGTCTGCGACGCTTCGCGTTCATATCGTCTTCCTCCGAATGCATCGAAGATTGCTGTTGTTGCTGCCTGCTCCACGGTTTGTGTTCAGGCTGCTGATGGTGGTGATAATCTTGTTGGTGGTAATCTTGTGGAACGTGCTGCTGTTGGTTATGGAGGTGGTGGTGATAATCAGATTTTTGCATGTCCTTCGGCATCGAGGTGCCGCGCGACTTATTTTCCGCTTCGTCGTCGCTGAAGGCCAACTTCTGATTATAATCAATGTCGTCGTGCATTGCCCAGCCCATGTCGCTGGTGAGATTATCCATGCCGCTGAGTTCCTCTTCCTTGATGATCGGCCTGTGGAGAGACGATTCAGTTTCGTGATGTTGTTGGTTATTCCTCTGCTGCTGCGGTTGTCTTCTAATTGTCGATTGGTTTGTGGAATTGTTGTTGGCTGTTGTATTGTTGGCATTGGAGGTATTGGACTGTTGTTGTTGCGGCTGTGGAGACGTCACGATGATGGACAAAGGTGTAGCAACGCCGGGAGCAATGTTTTGAAAGGGTGGCTGCTGTTGTTGCTGCTGACCCAATGCTGGATTGCCGGCGACGTTTCCTCCTTTGTACATGAACGTCGGCACAAAGCCTCTGTACTGTGGCAGAGGGGGGCCGCCCTGGCCCATGTGCGATGGTGGGGCACCGTGAGGGGCCGATCCGTTGCGCTGGGGGCCTCCGGCGACGTTTGATGCAGCGATACCGTCCGTCCTTGTGGCGGCACCTCCTCCGAGTTGCCACGAACCCTCCGTCTGTGGTCTCAAACTTGGACCGGGCCCGTACTGGGTGTCCGCTGTGCCAGAACGTGGTGCACCTCCATCTCCAGCTGACAGGCTGGGGAATTCGTGTTCGAACATCAGACTTTGATAAGAGGGCGGATGGGCCGACGGCTCGCCGCCACTCATCACCGAACTCCATGACTTGTCCCCGGTGGCAGGATTCGCACCGTGCTGTTGCTGCTGCTGCTGTTGTTGCTGATGATGTGGCTGTTTTACACCTCCAGCAACAACCGATACGGGCATAGACTGTTGTTGTTGCTGCTGCTGCTGGATCTGCTGCTGAGCGCCCTGCTGGTGTTGTTGCTGCTGCTGCTGCTGTTGCAGGGCCGGGTTTGTTGAAACCGGCAGAGCGATATTGGCTTGATGGGTACTCGTTGTGTTCGTCGCATTCGCAGCACCAGCACTGCTCACATTCTAAAATAGCAAACAAACAAATAAAAATTAACAAACTTCAATTAGACGTATATACCATAAAACACCGCTATGAATGGTAATTTTTCGAACCGTAATTGGACATGACAAGGCTCTTCGCGATCGCACAAAACAACAAGAATTATTTCATATTTGTACAACGAATGCACGAGTTGAATATCAGACACACACACAATTACAGTCACAAGTATCAATGTTTGCATCAGTTTCAAAAGAAACCATAAATATAATAATAAAAAAAAGACAAACACAGATATTGGAGCCGCCTATATAAACATAAAATATATTATTTGAACTTGTTTTCATTTCAATTATATTTAAATGCTCGCATTGTTAGTATTTAGATAAATCAACACAACATATTTTCTTTTTCCTTTCACTTAACAAAAACATATTTAATTTGTAATCATAGCAACAAATACAAACAAAATTACATCATATTTGCAATAATGTTGAATTTCTGCAGAACAGCTTATTTGATAATTGTTAAATTACATAAATGGTGGCTGGATTTTCCTCTAACGTGCGATTATATTGCTTAATAAATATATATGTTATCAGTGAATCATAATGAGTCACCTGTATAATAATTGATGCTTTCATGAAAACTGATATCAACTTACTGTTGTTGTTGTCGTCGAGGTCGATGAAGAAGCACTCTCTTGTTTGCCCCATCCTGAACCGTTAGAAGGAACCAAAGATACAGCTGCGTCGGACCCACTGTGCTCGGACTTCAGAGATGGGAGATTCGCAGGGGGACGCCTAGCACTAGGTACCTTGCCCAGTAATTGCATGCCATGTTTATGCGATAATATACTCTTCTGTTGCTGCTTCTCAGTAGATTCTCCCTGCAGACAAAATAAATAAACAAACAATTAAAGAAAAACGATAAAATATAACAATAATAATAATAATCACTCACCAATGAAACCTTATACAGACTATTAATGTCCAAAGACTGGTACTTGGATTTCCCTTTTTCGCCCTTCGAGGCCAACCCTGGCAAAGTAGACATGCTGTCCACACGCAACCATTTAGATCTTCGGGAGACCCAGCGAACGAACCCTTTTGCTAGAGTAATTTAAAAAAAAAGAAAAAAAACAAAGAGTGTTAGTTTAGATTACGCAGTTGAAACAATGGATCGGGGGATAAAAACAACAATTGATTGATTTTTTTTTTGACAGTTCAAACGCAAACATTATTGTCCTGGGGGATTTTCGTGTTTAATTCTACGTGTGTGTGTAATGCATTCTTCTTTTTTTTTTGTTTGTTCACTGCTGCGGTGTGTACAAACGTCAAGAAAGAATGGAAGCAATAATGATCGAGGAAATTGTAGCGGGTTTCAGAGGAAAATAACGGTACAGACTCGGTTTCTGTACTCGTTTCTTTTAAGAATGGTTTAGAACCGTGCATCATCGTTCGTCGTCCATGGGATTGAACAAACGCCGAGGACGACGAACGCGCTTCTTGTTTCATTTAATTTTTTTGTTGTTCTGATATACACACATACATATATATATATATATGTGAATGCGTATGTGTGTGTTTCAAGGCTTACTTTGGTCCGTTCAGATGGGTTCTCGACGAAATTTCGATGGGTCCTGTCGATAAACAAAAAGGGGGAGACTCTCGTATCCGTCTCTTTCTTTCTTCTTTTCACTGTGCGAGTCGGTTAGTTGGCCTGAAAAAGATGGCACACAGACGCTGTAGGATGCAAACAGCACACACACAGAGTATTATTTTATCTTGTACGTATGTATGCGCGCGTATGCTTGTGTGTATGTATGTATGTATTTGCCGTTGCAACAACTATTGCTTTTGTTGGCGTGTCTTCAACAGAGACAAAACTAACGAACTAACTCGGTACACACTGTGTACTCACTCAGTCGCTCGCTCTCCCACAAACGCACTTAAATACACAGATTGATAGAGAGACAGAGATGGTGAGATGGGGGACAGACACAGGACGCGCACCGCGATCGTTCTTTCCCTATCCTATCCTTCCTTCTTCTTTCTTTCTTTTCCTCGCGCTCGCCGAGAAAATAAACAAAACAAAACAAAAAACGGACCGACGCACCGGATTCGCAACGATCTGCACTCACGCTCGATGCACTTTCGAAATGCTCTGCGATCCAGAAATTCATGTGCAAAAAAAACACTTCTCTTCTCACTTCGTTCACTTTTCTGTTACCAAAATGGCGTTCGGGCGCCCCGGAATGTACAGAGACGGCGGACTGTCGATCAATAGCGTGACGTCGGCCACATTACCGGCATCTGTCAAAAAAAGAACACCAGAAGGAGACGCGAACGCCATCTACCGCACGCAACGATCCACCAAGACAAGACCGCTCTTTTTTACATTTCATTTCAAAATTTATCGAACCGAATAAAGTTGAAAAAGAAACATATAATTAACTAACAAAACAAAAAAAAATACTTATTAAAGTAGTTCATAGAAAACTTGAATTATACAGTTTACAGCATTGGAAAACAAAAGTAATTTAGTTTGCTTTAAAACCAAATTATTGCGCTCATTAGTTATACAACATAATTAACATTTAATTTTTGTATTTAAAAAGTTTAAACATAATTTTATAGAATTTTATTTGTAATATTAATTAAATAATTGGTGAATTCAATTGTTGCTTTCATTTACATTTTACTGGCATCCGTACATCTTGTTCAATTTGGCGATATCGATTGGGCTGAGTCCTACCCTTTGTCCGATTTCAGCGTTGGGGTCCTGAAATTAAAAGATGATGATGATAATAATAATCAATCTTGCCTTGAAATGAAACAAAAAAACTAATGATAATAATACCTTTGGGACGATGGTCTTCTCTCCGTTGTCAGAGAATGCGTACTCTCCGTAATGCATCACGCTTCCGTAATCGTACTTTTCACCGAAATTGGTGATCTCGTCAGCGTCGTACTTGTCGAAGTTGCTTTCGGTGCCCTTCTTGATGTTCTTCCACACGATTTCGACGAAATCGTCCCGTTCGGTGGAGCTTTGCTGATGATAGAAACCGATTGCGTGCAAGAATTCATGTTGGATCGTGGCGGAGCGGAAGCAGCCTTCTCCAACCGGATAATCTTGGAAGTTGACAATCTGCTTGCCGCTTTGACGACCGACGTACGACCAACATCCAGAAGGCTCGTTCTGAATGTTTCGTTTCAAATCAAAACAATGTTATTAGAGCAATTGTTTCAAGGCTTACCGTGATGTAAATGTAATTGCCATCTTCCGGTCTCTTCGGCCTAGCCTTGACGCAGCTCACTTGCTCGAAGATCTTCACGGATTCGGCGATGTGCTTCTTGTGCTCTTCACCTATACGAAAGTTTCATTAAAAACAAATTTGATTTTTTTTAATAAAGTGAATCATTTCATTACTCAGGGATGGATCGAATTCGTATGGGACTTCGTTGTCGGGCCATCTGTACACCTCGTGAATCAAACCGTTCCTCTGCTTCTGATTCAAGACGATATCGCCCTGATACTGTCCGCTCACCTCCCAAACATTCTGTTTATCACCCTCCTTCCAATTGCTCAATCTTCCAACTACAAACAAACAACATTAAACTTTAGCTTAACAATTATTGTTCATTTTACTTTGTTCGGGAGATAGATCCCTGATGAGGGCAGCCTGCACAACCGCCACCAAAACAGCAACAACGACAACAGCACCCTTCGATAACATTTTCGGAACTTATCATTGTCTCCCGTTTCCATCGATCATTTATAGTTGCGAGAATCTAATCTTCGGATTTGATTAGAATCTGAGGAGATGACCACTTGATCCACTGCCCCAATACCTTCAGATAAGCAAACAAATACAAACAATAATAGAATTCGCCATTCCTCTCATCAAAACGATTCTAATCACGCGGCTTTTCTCTCGATAACCGAAATTAAACGGAATCGCTCTAAATTTAAAAGCACAATTTCAATGAAATATTTACATTGTATATGAATGAATTCCGAATCGAAAATAGAAATTAATTGATAATAGGAATTGGCTCATAATATTTGTTTTAGAACAATCATCGAGATTGCAGCAGTTTCAAGTGCACTCGATGACTTGATGGAAACGCGATTTTCAGCTAATTTTTCATTCGATTGTTTTTAAATCAATTGTTAATTCCAATTGTTTTTAATCAATTTCAAATGTTTTCGACTCTTTAAATTCAAAATCATTTGGACTTCTTGTGTATAACTATCAATTAGTTTGTTATTTTTTTATGATTTGGAATGTCGTACTTGGTTGGTTAAAGTCTAAAGTCCAATGTACTTAAGATTTGAATAATCGTTTTATAGGTTTATTGATGCTTGTACATATGTTGCAGAAGAAGAAAAAAAACGTCTTCTTCTGTGTTTTGAGTTTTAATTTAAATTAAAACATTTAGTATAAATTATTTAATGTTTTTAATTTGTTGCTTATAAGCATATAAGATTGTGTTTAAATGAACTTATTTAAATTTGAAATTGAATCATGGATCTGGTAATGTTTGGCGCTGTTCCGTTGGTCGCTCTGGACGGCCATCGAATGTCAAAAGCCTTCGGGGTGAAAAAAAAAATGGCCACGGCGAGTGAAGTGTGTTGTTGAATTGACGAAAAGAGAAAGAAATCACGTGAAAGAGTTCTTCGTCGCCGTCGGGGGTCGTGGAAAATGATCTAAGTCGAGCGATTCTCAGTTCGTACGAAATTATAAATAAATATAAACGTCCGCCGAGACGCAGACAAAGTGTGAGTAGAAACGATTACAGTTTAAAGGGAGATAGAAAAAGAGAGAGGCAAACGAAAATACACAAAAAAAAGAAAAGAGAATAACTAAAAAAAGATATATAATATTTATATGAAGAGAATGGAAATGAATTGCGAAGAGATGTCGTCTTCGTCGTCGTCCGTCCATTAGGTGATTTGAGAATTGTTATTGGGAAACGTCGGGATTCGCGTCGGTCGCGTTTTCGTCGAACTCCTCTTCGTCGTCGCCGCTGCCGCCGTTCTTGTTGTCGTCGTCGCCGCCGTTGTTGTTTTCGTCGTCGTCATCTGATCGTCTTCCTCTAGCGTCGCGCGCGTCCAGAGGTGAGACAAGATCCGAACCGCCATGGACGTACGTACGGATGGATGGATCAACGCCCTCCTGCGTCCATGCAAATCATCCGTTTTGTATCCTCTTATACCTGAGATGATGATGGTGTTGTTGTTGTTGTCGTCGATCGGTCGCGTCGTCGTCGTCGATGCAGCAACGCGATTTGGAAAACGTCGCGACTCGCCGCGCCGCGATTTGTGTTTGTTTTGTTTGTGTTTCCTACGAACATTTACAAATTCTTCTCAAAATTCAATCCCCCTTTTAGAATTAAGCGAGAAAGATAGAGAGCGAGAGAGAGAGAACCGAATATTCGATCATGTTTATGTCATCCCTATGAGAATAGCAGGTTATGTTTATGTTACCGTCACCTTGACAGTAATCTATATTTATTTATTTGCATATATATATATATATATGCATATGTTCAAAATATAAATAATAACACATGTTATTGTTGTTTTTGTCAACTCAAGAAATTGCTGTTGTAGATTTGTTTGCAATGAGTATTCGAATGATGAGTGTGAGCTGTGTGGCTGGGCTGCATGAATGGGTCATGTCATCAATTACTTGATCTTGCTCAATTTTTGTTGTTGTTGTTGTTTTTTTTTAATGCTGCGGAAGTGTAAACTGTTTTTATTGTGGTACGTTGATAAAGTTGCGTGTCGTGCTTCTAGTAAGCGAACAGCCAACAGACGGAGGAAGGCACCAAAACGCCGCAACGCAACAGGAGGAACCCCAGGACCATACATCGAAGAAGGTAAACACGAACGTTATTTCAATGAAAAAAAATAAACATACCCAATGAGTTGTGAACATACTTATTGGATTTATAGGTGGAATGTGTATGTAACCTGCATTGGAATCATTGATTAAATACATTTTGTGTATAATGTATACAAATCAGGAATAGGGCAAATTGTTTTCATTTAATATTATTTGCTTTCAAATTGGATAAAATGATTAAATTGTAATGGTTTTAAAATTTGAACATGATTGTAGATTTGTGTGTGTATGTGTTAGGATGTCTTCGAGGAGACGGAGCCGCAGCCGGGACAGGTCCAAGACATCGTCTAGTAACTCGAAGCTGAGGATGGATAGTAAACCGCAGTCGATGAGGATCACAGGTTGTTAAATCGGTGCAGTAACGATCCGATTGTAAATTTGCTGTTTGCAGATCCTAGCTTGCCAGCTGGAAGGAGACGCGAGATTGACAATGTCATGAAGAAGGCGAGGGCTTCCCCAAACTCTAACACGTATTGGGACAAGAAGCTGCTCGAAGTGGAGGCAAAAGATCCGAATCGGTAATTATTTATTTTAGGAATACCACTAGTAGTTTTATGGGATGGTAGATGATGTTTAAGAAAGAGATAGTGGGTTTTTGGTGCGATGTTTTTGTGCAAGTGAAGAGTTGTGTGTATGTACTTCCAGTTGGCGTCACAGCGGTTACAAGTCGATGTATTTGGACGGGTCGTCGTCGCCGTCGTCGGGGCGTCGCAGCCGATCGCGTTCTCCGACCGGACGCCGTTCGCCGCCGGGGCGTCGTTCGCCCGCGGGCCGACGCTCGCCGCGGTCGCCACCTACCTCGTCGCGCCGTTCTCCGCTTGCCCGCCGCCCCTCGCCACGATCGCCGCCCACGTCGTCGCGGCCCCATCCGAGAATGCCCAGGTCGCCGCCGCATATGCACAAGAGCGCGCAACGGCGGTCGCCATCCGCGAGCAGCGTGAGCAGCTGTTCGGACGACTCGTGCTCCGTGTGCTCGCCGAAGAACAGAGGTGCAAGGTCAAGGTACCATTCACCTACCAGACGACATCTTTCACATAACACTTATGTTTTGTTGTCCTGCAGGTCTCGCTCTTTCTCGGTGTCGAGGACACGCGGGAAAGGCCACAGTAGCAAGGGTCATGGTGGAGGCGGACACGGCGGTGGCGGCAAGAAGGTCGGCAGGGCACGTCCACCCTCGCCGACGCCGTCTCCTCCCACTCGTCGTATTCCGCGCCCCATGACGCCGCCTCCAACCAGACGCGGCGGAGGCGGAAGCAACCGTCCATCGGCGTCCACCTCTTCGGACAAACCAACAGACCCAAGGAGACAACCGCCTCCGGTGAGACCGCGCAACCGATGCGGTGAAATCATCGACGTCACGGGCGTCAAACCTCCACCACCTAAAGCAGCAAAGAAGTCGGACAAGGACAAAGACCAACCGGTAAATTTCTAGCCTCTTCCGTAAAATCTCTTCTAATGTCTAAATGTGCAGGTTCTATTGACGCGTATCAAGAAAGAGCGTACGAAGAAACGCAACGGTTCACCGGGTGGAGACAGCTCGGGTTCCGAGGATAGCTCCACCTCATCGACTTCAGCAATCGTTGCCACGACCCGCTTAACATTGTCCGAACGCTTCGGAAAGATGGCACAATGGAGCGTGGATCGTGAACGCAGAGACATCGAAAATATGCGCATCACGAAAACTGGTAGCGACCTGAAGGTGATGATAGAGGAGGACGACTTCCTCTACGGTTCGCCTCCGCGCAGATACAGGTACTTATTTGTAATATGCTAATTGCAAGAATATGACTTAAGTTTCAATGTTTTTCAACAGTATATCGCCGGTGCCTGCCGGTCACTTCCCGGATGAACTCCTGGCAAGCAGCTCTTCACGGATGGCTGGTTGGGACGATGTTCGCGTCCGTTACCAGTACTACAAAGATTTGGGATACTTGCGCGATCTGACGCTCGACGATTACGTGAAATGGGAGGAATGGTGGTACAAGTACCAGGATTGGTTGGCCAACGAGAGACACTACGAGCATTGGCTGTCCACGCAGAACAGGAGGAGGCGCAAAAGACTTCCTGCTACGCAGAGGCTTAACTGAAACGAAAGGTATTCCTACGGAAGGAGCAGAAGGAGAAGAAGAAGAAGAAGCAGCAGCAGAAACAAATACACCGGCAATATTAACAATACTAAACGCATACGAAACAATAAGAGACGAAGAAGAGATAGAGACAAATAGAATCGGGCGAGAATCTCATCGGTTAAGAATAATTATTTTTTTTTTTTGTTTTCATGTATCCTATATATAAATATTAATTAATTAATTAATTTGAACGATCCGTAAATCATGCAATTGAACGAACGAACGAACCCCACATTACAACAATTAATTCATACGTTCGTTTGTTCTCATAAACTACTACTGCTAGTTTTAGGTAAGTTTTATTAATTTTCTTTCCTTTTTTTTTCATATTGTATGTGTCTCTGTATTATAACAAAAATCATCCCATATTATTACTATTTTCTATCACTTTTAAGTTTTAATATTCATTATCAGGATAACAAATACTTTATTATGATCGTTTCTTTTGTGTACATATATTTGTATATGTATAATATTCATTCATCGGCAGATTGTACTTTTTATTATCGACTTTTACGTTGCGTCCTTCGAAGCATGTCTTAAAATATCAACTTTATTTAATTTAAAAAAATATATATATATATTATAATAGATAAGAGAGAGAAAGAGAGAGGAGATGAGGTGGAGAGAATAATTCATAAAAGAAGAAGACGAAAAGAGAAGAAAAAAAATATTACGGATATTACATATAAATCTTTTTTTTTTATATAATAGTTAATTATTTCCAATTGTTAAATAAAATTACAAATCTTCGAATCGTACACACACACATACACATTGATTGATTGATATACACTCTTACTTATATAATATACATTATATATATATAAATGATCCTTCCTCGCGCTTTCGGATTCGAAATTATTACGTATTTTCGTCCATACCCGATACAAAGAATGTTGCGATCTGCGACTACTACTGTTACTACTCCGTCTGCAGTTCGTAGCATTGAAAGTTCAAGTCGTCGTAGATGTTAGCGCCGTTGATCATCTCCGCTTCGGAGAGGTTCAGACCTAGCGCTGCGGGATTGAGATCGGTGATCAGGTAGTCGTTGCCCAGTCCACACTCCTCGGCCACTTGCTCCTTGCTCACTGGCGGACACAAAAAGTCTTTGAACGGGCAAAAAAAAGGACAGAAAGAAAAACACATGGATCAAAAGTTCATCGTCATCATTAGCAAACAACACACAAATATAGCAAGAGAAGAATAGGCAAACAAACGTGAAATAAATTGGAAGTTCGCAGGGAGGATGTGAAGCGAGTGAACCTACCTAAACTCACGACTGATAATGACAAGCGGCCGAAAATTAAGAGAGAACGATTAATAGACAGCCGTGTTTGATAACACAAAAGAAGTTGCACGTCGTGTAGAAGAAGTTTGAAAATTTAGTAACTTATAAAAAAAGTACTCACCACCCAAACCTCCGGACATATCAATCACGTACTCGACTTCCACGTTCTGAGGCTGCTGCATTCGTCTCTGATGGTGGATTATTTCCTGGTAATTATTGTATGTTTACTTTTAATAAAGTTGAGACAATAGTGAGTGTACTGTTTTGAATATGATGTTTCTTGATATTGGTAAGTAGTGTAGAATGTAATTATAGTAATCACTTTGTTGGTGCTGTTGTTGTGGTTTCTTACCGTCTGTTGTTGGTGTATGGTGCTGTAATCGCTGACTTCCTCTTGCGGTGGTAGGATGCTGGCCGTCGCCGTCGCCAGTTCGATCTCGTGCTGCTTCTGCTTGTTGTACTCGCTCATCGTCGTCTGGATGAACTGTTGCATCCGCTGCTTCTTCTGCTCCAATTGCAAATTGATTCGAAAGTGAGTATACGGAGTGTTTTAGCAGTAGTAAAATGTGAAAAGCTTACAATGTTCCAAGTTTTTTGATCCTCCCTCTGAGCGATGGTCCACAGATGCCCTGCCCCGTGGACGGCTTTGCTGCCTTTGCGGAAGTGAGGATTTATGGACAGATTATGCCTGACCGAGTTCTTCCATCTGTCGTCGTTCTGCTTGTAGAACGGGAAGTGATCGCTGCGAAGCAAAGCAAATTGTCGTGTCGTTTTGTTGTAATCGATCCAAAAGCAACCCCCAACCAAAACGGGAATCATGCATTAAACGACGACGTGTCGTGGTGTGGTGTGAGAGAGGAGGAAGAGGGTGGATGATGGGTGGTCGTCGGCTGATTCGGTCACGGTTGGTACGCGCCGGCACCGCAGTTGATCCCCCGGATATAATAATGATCAAAAATATTGGAGGCAGTGAATCGAAACCGAAACGTTTAAGCTTTAATTGCGCGCACCGTTGCGACGACGTCCATCACCTGCGGTACCGTTCCGTACCGGGCAACCTTTGTAATTTATTACCTGCACATTCGGGGAAGCAAGGGAGTTTTTTGGGGGTGGTTGAGGAGGAGGAGGAGGAGAAGAAGAAAGACCGCACTTACGATATCCATTGATAGATACCCGAAACGGTGAGCTCGCCCTTTTCCACCAATGCGTGCTCGATGAGCTCGGTGTAGGTGAAGGGCGGCTTCTTGGGACCGCTGTATCTGTACGTCGTTTGACTGGACGAAGAAGGTAGTTTTGGCTCCTGGTACAGCATCTTTTGACCATCGCCGAACTGCTGCTCGCTTATCTTTATTTCCGGAAGACCACCCAATATCTTGATCGTAGGCATCGTCTGGTGTTGCTGCTGCTGTTGCTGAAGATGATGGTGTTGTTGATGGTGAATTTGCTGCTGCTGAGCTTCGATGTTTCCACAATCTAAGAAGCGTACAATATTTACAACTTCTGTCGGCTTTTACTTGATCTCTTTTCTCACCTGGCACTGGGGGCAGTTCGTTGATTTTGTAGTTGAGCAGCCAGGAGAGGTTTCCGTCCGAGCAGCAGTCCATCTCGATGCCCGAATCGGAGCCAATCGGACTCGGCACGTTGTTCATCAGGGTGGTGGAGTTGTTCATCTCGATCTTGATCTGCTTGTTGGCGCTGCATCCGCTGCTGCTGCTCCTCCTTCTCCCCTCGAAATCATGCTGCTCCAGAAACTGATGCTCGGCTTTGTACGCCTGCAGGTCGTCGATGTTCACGTGGTGCATCTCGGCGATGATGTTCGGTATCTTGTACGACGTATCCCAATTCCCATTCAGCAGTACGACCTGCAAACAAACAACAACAACAAACGTTACGAGCTGTGCGATTTTGACTCCTCCAAAGACGTGAAGCAGACGACCTCCGTTCCTCCACCGCCGCCGCCGTTGACAACGGACGTATGTTCGTTGCGATCTTTCCTCTTGATCGCGATCTGCGGCAACATTCCACCGCTCTTCGTCGCAGCGTGCTGCCGTCCTCCTGCTCCACTTCCTCCTCCTCCACCTCCTGCTGCTGCTGCTGCATTTGTTATGACCCTCCGGAACCGAAACTCTGGATTGTATTGGTAATTGTTCGAACCATTGTTGCTACCGTTATTTACTAAACGACTCCGGTTGCTGTTGTTTATGCCCGCATTATTATTATTACTACTACTGTCCATCTCCAAAACAAATCTGACTCTGACTCCGAGAAACTCGAATAACTCGTCAGCCCGATGACAACCGGCCGTCGTCTGTTTCCCTTTTGTTTACTTACCTCCAGGCCTTCTGCGATACATTATTGTTCGCTAACATTAAGAAATACGGTTTTCAAAATACTCACACGAGTGTTCTTCGTCGATGTAGTCGGCAGAATGCGGACGATAGGGGTAGATGGTGGAATGCGCGATGCTCACCGTGCACTAACCAATGGGTGAATGTGAGCGCGCCACCCCGCATCCATCCCCCAAAAAACACCGACCAACCCCGGTGATGTTTGTGTGTGTCTTTCTTGAGACCCAAATCGCACTATCCATATTTCACAATTAAGTAATCCAAGAAGTTACATTTTGTACAAGAATGGATAAATATACTTTGATTTAATTCAATAATTTCTCTTCAAATATTTGAAGATTACTCAAAGCAAGTGAAAATGTAGAATATATGTTTATTTTGATATTAAAGTTTTGCGATAAATATAATAAATTAATGATACTCCTTTTAATATCTTCACAATTTTTTCAATGTATTTTACTATTTATATCCTTTTACAATTAGTCTACTAATTACAGTAATTTAAATTTGATTGGAATAAGTCTAAATAAGTTTGCAAACTTTTTGAATTGTTCGTAATGGTAGGCAACCAAATGTACATCATAATACTACATTATGTATTTTTATTTTATAATTATTTCTTTATATAAAAGTTGATAATCAATTAGTTGTTTATTAATTTGAACTTATTGAAGTAATTTGTTGATTTTCATTAATGATTCGATTGAAAAATGTTGAATTATGCAGGCAACCCGATGGACTTAGCTGTGGATTCCGTCAAAACTGTCAACATGATGACAGCTGTTATGTGCTGTTGTTCTGTGCTGGTGATAATCATCGCTCCACTATCAAAATATTATTGTGGCTGAAGGGAACGGTTTGATCGTTCGTCCGAACCCATTAACCCCATCGTACACGACAAAGTCGGGCAGCGGTTTGCAGTAACGAAACATTGGGTCAGAAGAACTTGTGAGTGAAGACTTGCTTATTCAATTTGTCTTTATAGGGTGAACCTAATTATCACGATTTCCTTTTGTTCCTCCTTTTTTTTTTTCTTATTCACATTTTTTTTTTCTCTTTCTTTGATGAAATTTCCAGAATGTTCAAAGAACAATGGACATGGACAGCACAAACGGTGATAACAATGGGGGCATCGAGCAAGCGCTGCTGCAGCAGTTCAGCTGCATGGGTACGACGGACAGAGAAGAGTTGATTTGCAATTTGCAGAGGGTGCTTGGGGCTGACCTGAACTACAGCACGGCAGCATTCTATTTGGATATGAACAATTGGTAATTGGCAACAATTTCATTGATTTGTTCAGTATTAATTTTCTTTTTTTTTTTTCGGTACTGATTTTTTTTAGGAATCTGCAAGCTGCTATATGTTCTTATTTTGATGTGGTCAATTCCACTAAACTTCCATCGATGGCACTCCGTGCAGACCCACATGCAAGCGAGAACGATAGCGTGGAGCCGAACACGCCGTTCTTAAAGAACTGGTATGTTTATAATAATGGGCCGGAGCGCTGGCCGGAGGGTTGCTATGTTCAGTGTTCCGCTGGAGACACTTTCGGTGGGGAGAAAACGAACGTGAAAGCCATGATGCCTGGTGAGATGACACTGATATCTGTCGATATGGTGAGTCCCGGCTGTGCGGGTCAATTCCAAAGCAAATGGAGGCTCTGCACACCGACGGGCACCTATTTCGGGGATCCCCTATGGATGATTCTGACGGTTGTCGAGGAGAGAACGATGCAGCTCACCGATCAGCTCTCCCATTTGAACGATCTCGGCGCCCCATTGACCAATAACGTGCCTGCGAATCCCTTCAGATCCAATGAACAAGTAAGATTACGTCACGTATAATCGATATAATATTATTATTTTTTTCTCTTCTTTTTATTTTCTCTCGAAAAAAACGAGAAAGAGAAAGAAACCGTTGTTGGGATATTCTTTTGATTTTATTATTTTTAGATTGGTAACTCGGATCAAGATTCTCATATGTGTTAAATAATGTTTAAATTATAAAAAAAAAAGAAATATTTGTAATTAGCTATTTCCGAAGTGTGGGGAAAATTCAAGTGAGTGCCAATAATTTTTCAATCGTTTTGGGATTTACTTTTAATTATTACTACTATTAATACCATATTTTTGTTTTCCATACTTTTTTTTTTCTTGTGACAAATTCAATTATTGTTATTATATCTACATACATACATACATATATATATTCTATTATTATCATTTATGTGAGGGAAATTGTTATTTTTTCTTAGGGGTTTTATATAAGTAGTTGCATTTACAAGCTGAAGCTATTCACACATTTCATTTGCGATTGGAACACACACACACACACAAAAACACCAATGATTTTTCTTGTAAATATAATATAGATTTATATAAATAACACCAGATTATAGAAGAGAGTATAATACAGTTTTATATACATATATACAAAAGAAAAAAAAACGCATACATACATTATATATTTTATTAGATTTTAGAAACATGGTGCTTTATATCTTTCAAACTGAGCTAGATTTGTATTGATTGCTGCGCGCTACTTCAAACTTGCCAAGTAACTGTGTTACTTGTGTTGTTGACAACTTTGGAAAAAGTAGTTGCAGCGATACGAATTGTTGCTAAGTTTTGCCTTTATATATATACATATTTATATAAATCGTTCGAAGTTTGACAACGTTCTTTTTTGACGTTATGAAAATTATCGCAGTGTTTCTGTGCGCGATGGCGGTGGGCGCTAACGAGTTCTGCAACATTTGCTGCATGAACATCGAGGCGGAGACGGTGGGTAAGGTGTGCGGATCGCACACGATGTGCAGATATCAGGTAAGTGATGCGATATGATTATTATTGGTTACAACGATTTCAATGTGCAAATTGTCTAGAAAGAGGAGGTGGGACCTTCGTGCAAGGGTTTTGTCTTGGTAAAGTTCACGCCCACCGAGAGGAGGGGCCTGGTGGACATGCACAACGCTCTGAGGAATAAAGTTGCGCTGGGCGGAGTCGACTTGCAGCCGGGGGCGTCGAACATGCGTGCGATGGTTTGGAACGAGGAGTTGGCTGGGATCGCGGAACGATGGGCGTCGCAGTGCGTTTACGGTTATGACATTTGCAGGGATTTAGGTGAATGTTATTATTATTATTATCATCGTATCCGATTTTCACAAAAATTGGATATTCCGTGGTAATTCGTGCGTGGACATCCTTGAAATTGGATAAAGTTTAGAGAAATTTCCGGTCGGGCAGAACGTGGCCAAAGGCACATATTCGACGAGTAATGAAACGGAATTGGTGAATCACTGGTTCCTCGAGCATCGGAATTTCGACGCTTCCCTCGTCGCTAAATACAAAATGTAAGTTCATCGTTTTTTATTAGTTTGAGTAAACGAATAAACGATTTTTAGTACGAAGAGGAAAAAGAATCGTCATTATACGCAGCTCGTTTGGGCTGACAGCTATCTGCTCGGTATAATGAACATCATCATCAGTTCTCTCTGCACGCTTCGGGTGATGCTTAATGATAATTGCAGGTTGCGCGAGGGCGATTTTCCAGCAGTCGAACGGTTCTTCCGTCGCGTACAAAGAGCATCTGGTCTGCAACTACGGTCCGACTGGGAACATTCCCGATCAGCCCGTCTACAGGATCGGGAAGGCGTGCAGCGAATGCCAGCAGGGCACCACCTGCAGCACCGAATACTCTGCTCTGTGCGCAGCTGAATTGAACGACGACCTTTACGACTATTTGGCGAGCGACAGGACGAAATTAACAACATCAAATACGCACCTCGTACTTTTCGCATGTTTCATTTCGAATCTATATTGTTTTTATTTAGATCAATTTGTTTAACTTTTATATATATATATAAAAAAAATGAGAGAGAGAGTTTAATTTTGTTTTGGAGGTTAATGATGGAACAGCCTTAGTGTGGTGTGAGCGAGGACGATGTTGTGTTCGTTGCATGCTGCGATCACTCCGGCATCGTTGTTTGAGCCTTGCGGGCTTCCGATGTACGAAACTCCGCTCTGCAAACATAAGGAATAAGTTTGTTGTTGTTGTTGTTGTTTCGGAGATGTTAACTCACCAATCGAGCCCTGTCGATGTTGTCTCTGAATGGGAAGAAGGCGTCGGAAGCCAGAGACACTCCGCTCAATTTGCCGATCCATTCACGTTTCTCCTCTTCGGTGAGCTCCGTCGGCACTTCGTCGTACATCGCCATCCACGTGCTCTTATCCATGTCTTTGCCTATTTGAAAAAAACATACAAGTAGTAATTAAGTGTTTAATATAAACAAGTATTGTAAGTAGGCGATGGTGCAAATTATGCGTTATAAATCACCATGGAAACAAGCATAGGTGAAGTTTTTTTTTTGTTTTGTTTGAGATTATTGCAACGCACCTAAAGAGCCGTTCACGTAATTGTCGATGGCGTTTGAGATTTCCGCGCGTTTCACGCCCTTCTTGAACTTCATGCCGACGACGTTCGGGTGCTGCCTGAGCCACCAGTTGTCGGCCTTGTCTCCAGCGAGTCTCGTGCAGTGGATCCTCGACTGCTGTCCAGCTCCGATGCCGACAACCTGGCCGTTCTTCGCGTAGCACACGGAGTTGCTCTGCGTGTACTTCAGGGCGATCGTCGCTACGATCAAATCACGTACAGCTGCATCCGGTAAGTCTTTCCTTGCGCTCACGACGTTGGCGAAGAGGTTACCATCGATGACGGCATCGTTTCGCTTCTGCTCGAGCGTCAACCCGAAGAGGACTTTCCTCTCGGTGGTTTCCGGCTCGTATTCGGGATCCATCTGAAGGACGCAGTATCCACCTCCTTTCTTCTTCTTGAGCAATTCTAATGCTTCCGGTGTGTAACCTGGGGCGATGATGCCGTCGGAGACTTCGCGAGAAATGAGCTTCGCCGTCGGTTCGTCGCAGACGTCTGAGAGGGCTACGAAGTCACCGAAGGAGCTCATGCGGTCGGCGCCGCGCGCCCTTGCGTAAGCCACGGCAAGCGGACTCAACTTGTCGATTACATCGGTCACCATGCACACGCTCGCCTAAATTGTTATATTATATAATATATGCGTTTTAATAAGAATGATTTGATCACCTCATCGTCGGTGAGGGGAACACCGATGGCTGCGCCTGCCGGAGACACGTGCTTGAAGCTGGTGGCTGCAGGAAGTCCGAGCGTCTTCTTCAGTTCCTTGACGAGTTGCCAGCCGTTGAGAGCGTCGCACAGATTGATGTAACCCGGGGACCCGTTGATGACCTTCAGCGGAAGCTGCGGCAGGTTCGTGTACAGCTGTGCGGGTTTCTGGTGCGGATTCATGCCGTACCTCAGCGAGAGTTGCGCTTGTCCGTTGCCGGCGAACTGTTTACGGAAGTAATCGGAGATTGCCAAGTCGTACTCGGAGGTGTGGATGAAGGCCTTGAGGGCAAGCTGCTGTCTCGTCTCCGCGCTCGTATCAAGATTGCTTTTGATCTCCTCGAGGACTTTGCCGTAGTCTTTGGGATCGCAAACAATGGTGACACGACTGTGGTTCTTGGCGGCAGCTCTGAGGAGTGTCACTCCACCGATGTCCACGTTCTCAACAGCATCGGCAATAGTCACGTCCGGCTTGGAAATGGTCTGCACGAACGGATAGAGATTGCACACGACCACCTGGATCATGTTAATCTCCTGCTCCTGCAAATCGGCCAGATCGCTGGGGATGTTTCTAGAGAGGATGCCTCCGTGCACGGCCGGATGCAGCGTCTTCACGCGACCGCCGAGAATCTCTGGCGCACCGGAAATATCGCTCACATCCTTAACGGGAAGACCAGTATCCCTGAGCGCCTTCGCCGTTCCTCCGCTCGCCACGAGCGTGAATCCCACCTCGTGCAGACCTTTGCCCAGCTGCAAAAGCCCCGTCTTGTCGGACACGCTGAGTAGAGCTAAAAACGGAATACATCGTCAACTTCTCTATATTCGATCACTTGGAAATCCTCAATTATTACCTATGCGCTGCGCCATATCTCGTTCACTGGAGATCGAAGAACACTGGAAACAGGAAAGACGTGCTAATATTGAATAAAGAATCGGCTGATAACGCTAGAATTTTTCCGAACGTTAAAAACTGATACGCATATCACTCCCTCCTTGGCCTCTAAACTCTTTCAATTTATTGCAAGATAAACAATTACTGCGACAACGTAGAAGCCGCGCGCTATTCTTACAAATATCCTCATTTGTCTGTCTTGCGTCTAATGTACGATAATTGCAACATTTGACCCCAATAAATATCATCTAATTATTTACTTATTCTGAAATTCCAGTCAATCACACAATATAATAACGTACAATTTCAGCAATCACCAAATACATTGCAAAGATGAGTTTTATTTCACACGCATTTACTTGGAGATTTTTATTTATTGACTTAATCAGTTGCATTTATTGTTATTTTTTTGATTATTTTCTGCAATTATTCATAAATTCATATATTTCTTTGAATTTTGCAATGTGACGTAAATTCCAATTCGAATTTCCCGCGTTCCCTTTTTGACGTTCACGTCTGAACGATTATTTTGGCAACAAATGTCTGACTGACAGCTAATGTCAAAAACGCCTTACTACCGAAATAACAAAGATATTTGCGGGCCGGAGAACTCTTTTGTTTTTTAGCAAATATGAACAGATTATTTGGTAAAGGTAAACCGAAAGAGCCAGGTCCTAGCATCAACGATTGCATCACCAATGTAAGTATAACATTTTGAACAATATAAAAAACATGAATAGTTTGCTAATTAGTTGTGATTGCAGGTTGATGCTAGAGCGGACGCAATCGAGAAGAAAGTAACGAGCTTAGAGAATGAGCTACGTAAATACAAGGATCAGATGTCGAAAATGCGTGAGGGACCTGGAAAGAATGCGGTCAAGGCAAAAGCTATGCGAGTGCTGAAGCAGAAAAAGATGTACGAGCAACAATTGGATAACTTGAGAGGACAGTCTTTCAATATGGAACAGGCCAACTATGCCCAGCAGATGCTCAAAGATACACACACCACCGTTATAGCCATGAAGGATGGCATGAAGCAGATGAAGAAAGAATTCAAGAAGATCAATATTGAGGAGATTGATGATGTACAGGATGAGATGGCAGATATGCTGGAGCAGGCTGATGAAGTGCAGGAGGCGCTCGGCAGGAATTTCAACATGCAAGAAGTTGATGATGATGAGCTGGCTGCAGAATTGGATGCTCTTGGTGATGAACTTGTCTTGGATGATGACTCCAGCTATCTGGATGATGTGCTGAAGGCGCCAGAAGCGCCCAACACCAAACCTGAGGCAGAGGCGAACAAGAACAAGGATGGAATCGCCGTCGACGAGTTCGGTTTGCCGCAGATTCCCAATTGATGAATAACAAATAGGAGGAAGAGAAAAATCTATTTTAAATAATTTATATTAAAGATTATTTTTTTTTTTAATTTTTTTTAAATTCATTGCACATAAAGCTTTATCTAGAGATTAATAACTATGTTATAAAAGGACCTAAGTGATCTACTGAAGTTGTTAATAAATCTGCTTCTAACTTACGAACAAAATGGAGTGAAAAGCACGCTTTGGAAACTGGTTTTGATTATTGAACAATTATAGTGATTGTGGTTGCAGAATTAGAAAGAAGTACCATCTTGAGGAAAAGGGTTGGAATTTGCAATAACAAACTGTTATTGCAGTTAAAGACCAGTTAATTGAAAGAATATTATAGGTCTTGGTAATGTAAATTTTTATTTTAAAAAAATAATGCAAAATCTATAAATTTGTAATGTCTTTCAAAAGTGATGCCTTTTCACTTATATTGGCAACAATGCTTCCAAACCAGTTTACCCAACATTACAAACTGAATGTTTACCAACTTTCGCTCTGTCTGGTTCTGTCAAAATCAGAGATATTCTAGCGTTGTTGGAGTAAAGTTGTGTTTTTGTTGTTAACAATAAAAATGAGTTCGCAAATAAGTACCAGAGATAAACTGCTGTATATCGTGGACGATATTGAGTTGATTGCCAAGTAAGTTTTACTTTATCAATTTCTTCACGAAACGAATATTCTATTCCCTGTTGTTATTTTTAGGGAAATGATTGAGAATGCAATTGCACCGAAGCACGCTAAGCTCTCTGGGGCTGACTATGCACAGCTGACAGAATTGCTTGTTGCTAAGGATAATGAGTTGAAGGATACTCTGCAATTAGCCTCTGAGCAGGCCGATATCGATAAGAAAATGGATCTGCTGAAAGCCGAAGTGGACAGACAGGATCAAGACATCAATCAGTTGCAGAAGCAGCTCAAGGAAGCTGAACAGATACTTTCCACCGCAATTTATCAGGCCAACCAGAAGCTTCAGTCGATTGCAAAGGCTAACAAGAGGCCAGTCTCCTCGGAGGAGTTGATCAAGTTTGCACATAGGATTAGCGCTTCGAATGCTGTTTGCGCGCCGTTGACATGGCAGCAGGGTGATCCCAGAAGACCCTATCCCACTGACATCGAGATGAGGTTGGGTTTCCTCGGCAGATTGAGTGATCCTGTCAATGGGCATTTGCTGCAGCAGCAAAACAGTTTGTCTGATATCCATAGATCTGGACATCCCGGTGGTAAGTCTAAATTCTTGTTTACACTTTGCGAATTGTTTACTGATGGTTTCGTTTTAGAAATTCCGGCATCGCAGCCGAATCAATTTGCCTGGCATCCATCTGGTGAGATACACATGGGCGTCGGACAGGGCAGCGTCGCCATGGACACGAGAAATCATAAGCAGGAGAACGAGGATGTCGAGGTGATGTCGACGGATTCAAGCAGCAGCTCGTCCAGCGATTCTCAATAAGGACGGAATTGTATATCATCTAATTAAGAGCATCATTATCTTATTTTTCACTGATTCCGTGTTGCAAAAGTGATACAACTCTTACTCATGTTATATTGTATATATCATAATTATGTTGTAGGATTATTAGTGTAAGGTTAAATGTAAATTTACATTTTTTTATATATAAAAGGAACAACTATAATATATCTTATTTTCTATACTTTATGTGATTATATTCTTGAATCCGCTTTGCACCAAATGATTGAAGACGCAGTGTACGTTAAGTGAACAGAGCTATTATGGTTGCATATACGTATGCAGCAGAGGTTCCAAAACAAAGTTAAATACAACATCAAGTTGTTGTTTTTTTTTAAATTTCATTTGACTTGTAATTGAATTGTTTTATGCAATAACAGTAGAGATTAAATTAGAAATCATTTAAAAACTTCTAACTAATTAATGCATTGACGGTTGCATATTTGAGAAAGCGTTTGTAAACATTTAAAATAATCGCATCAACTTTGCAATTGTTTAATAACAATGTTTGTTATTGATGAAAGTGCGGTTTTGTTGATCATCGAATATTTCCCGTTCGCTAAACCAAACGTAAGTAAGTTTTAATCATTCAAAAGTATTCGTAACTTGTTCGGTTTTCGTTCCTATTGCGTTTTACGTATATTTGCATAAAAATGTTTGAATTTGATTTCTATACTTAGATTATTTGTGATAATATATGGTTATTGCAAATATGGCTGGTAGTCGTTCGGCTTTTGTTAGCTCACTTAAAGCCACCTGCAAATATTCCTGTTTCCCGTCTATTATTATCATCATCATCTAGTTTCGCCTTATCTATATTTATTTAGATATTTTTAGACCTGGTTTTCTTAACGCGGCATTTCCAAATCTAATCCCCGACTTTTGCGTACTTCCTCCTAATCTCAAGTCAGTCCTTCGCGCAAAATGATTTCATCATCAACTAGATGTGTAAATACTTACTGTTCAATGCAGCAGCAATGCTTTTTTTTATTTTTTGGACAGCGAATGTTTGCGTGGAAAAGGATGGAAAGAAAGTGATGATTGTAACGAGTAAATCGATGTTAATGACTCGTTTTCCATAATAAACAAAGCGTTCGGTGAGTTTGCTCGGAGGCGCGGAAATCGCGTTGATTAAATAATCGCAATGTTTAATTAACTCATCGCAGACGCGCATGGATCTACGGAGAGAGAAAAAGGAGTGTTTGTGTGCGAGAGTGAAAGAGTGAATCTGATGCCGTTTCGCTTGTTCCCATCTGAATGAAGGCGATCGCGATCGTTTTGTTTTCTAATGATTGCCTCTTAAACGGGCGATTATAAATTATTGCGGCGCGCGTTAATTGAACAACATGCTTGGAATCGCTAATTGAACATATTTTATTTATTATTCCTCGCTTCGATATTCAACACGGACACATTACATATCTATCTATCTTTATATATATACATATACACATCGTCTTCTCTCTGCAAAGATTCATCTTCATAGCGCACGCACAGTTTCACATTTCAACAGTTCCGTTTCCGGTTGTTTTTTTTTGCTCTTTTCTTCCTCATACTCGTTCCGTTTCGGTGGGCTGGCTGGAGCAGTGCGTTATGTTGGTCAGCGGGATCGAATCCCTCGGGTATCGCAGACGGTCGCTCTTCCGCCTCGGGGGACAGCAAATCTGGCGGAAGACGAACGCGTAGAAGAACAGCAGCACCCCTATCACAACCAGCAGGAGTCCACCGATCACCACGATCAACACCATGTGTATGTGCTCCATTTCCATGGATCTACAGACCGCCCGTGGGCATCCTGAAATTAAGCAAACATTTACCAACTTCCTATCTCCACTCTAAATTGCGAATGCATTCAATTGTCATCCAAGTTGAAACGAGTAACTTTTACACAACAAGTACTTGCAAATAATTGGATGTGAATAGTTTCCATAAAAACAACGAAACTAGTTGACAAGTGTAAAACTTTGATGTATTTTCTAAAATTCTAAAAATAGTGAATCAAAGGTTCACAACCTCTGCAATTATTATTTGATCCGTGTTAAGTTAATGCTAGTAGTAACGTCTGGATACGATCTGAATATGTAATATATATATTATATTTCCTCTTGTTTCGTGTATAAAATGTTGTACGCTTCGGAGCGAATCAATTTTGATCGGATTTGCATTTCAGAGTTGCGGCAGCAGCGGGGCTTCAAATAAAAATACCAATTTCATTACAAAGTAAAATCAGTTGAACCCCCCTTGTCTCTTTCTGGTCTCTCCATTTGCATCCTTAAATTTTCCTCTCTTTGATTCTTTTTTTTTACACGCACCGATCGTTTTTTTTTTGCTTTTTCACCCTCGCAAACTCTTTTATAGAAACGCGGGCGCGCCCGGATTTGATTCACTTCCAACCGATTTGGCTTCTGCGAACGATGATAATGTAATCGAAGTCGAGCGTACGTTCCACCTCTATCCAGGGTGGATAGAGGCGGATGAATCCAGGGACAAAATGATCAAAGCGACCTTTTCTGCAGCCGTTCCATCAATTTTCCGCTCGCCCTCATTCTCTCCACCACATTCAATCGTGCGTTCGCTACTTTTGTACATCTATTCTCTTACCACTCTGTTTGTCAACAAAAACGACACGGACTCAACGCGAATGTCGCAATTCGCTAAATTTGCAAGACAAACGGCCGGTAATTGGTGCGACAAACAACTCGCAGATTGCACTAATAATTTGCGCAAACAACGACTATTTTGTCTGTGCAAATAACTTATACACATCCCGACGACGACGATGATGATGATTATAATGATGATCAGTAGTTTATTTATGACACATGCACAGTTTCGATTTTGAGATCCATTATCGTGTTGCGGAGAAATGAAAGATCAAGCCAAGAAGTGTTAATGTTACCGTCATGTGTACACACACTGCGCTATAAATAATCAGAATCCAATGCCAAAAGCTCGATCTGTATTGCCCAAATGTTATATTTTAAACAAACTGTTGTTTATATATGATAATGAAACGTTATTATTTGTATTTGAAAATAATTTTTTTTTGTCCTTCTATTTTCAGATTAAGCGACAAATTTGCGAATCGAAGCAGTGAAGTGAGTACATTTATAAACTTGAATTATTACTAATTACGTAAAATCCATTCGATTTAATACATTTGTTCGTCAATTCAGTTGTTTTTTCATCACTGTAAAAATACGAACAATAATAGGTTATAAAAGTCAGAGTAAATATTGAAAGTGATAATAAAACAATTGATTGTGTATATTTAGCATGGTATTATTAGATAAGTGCAATAAAATATCAATTTGGAGCATATGGTCGATGATATTAACTTGCATTGATATGATACAAGTATTATTGTTTATTATTATTTAAGAATCAATCTTTATTTATTTCCTACGGTAATTAAGATGAAAGTAATATAAGAAATAAATAAGTTCATCCTTTTGCTAAATGTTTACGTTTGAACGTCGTTAAATTGGAGTGTGTATCCATGCAACGGAACACTGAAGCGATAACAGACTTTTATGTAATTAATCCAAGTGTTTCTTGTTTATATATTGTTCGGTTGATTTGTATCAGTTTGCCGGCGATGATTAAATTGGATTCGCCCGAGTATCAACAATTTTGTTGTTTGCCCAAAAAATAGCCGTGCGAAGAATTCGGCGAATTTCTAATTGATAATAACAATAACAGTAAAAAAAACAAACAACAATATATGAGGGCAAAGGTCCTTGAGCTATATCGAATTTATTATCGAATGATAATAAAAAAATATACTTTTTGATGTTGCGGTGTAGGGTGTGATACGGATCTGACTGGATGGAGCAATTCGGCTAAATCTCGAAATATATTTTTGCTGTCGTCGTTTATCAGCAGAAATGTGCACGAAAATTACATTTCAGAGTAGTTTGTTATCATTTCCCAAGCGCATGTAATAAAGTATTTTTAATTGGGAACATCGTAACTCTTGAATATGTTTTTTACGTAAATTCGCAACTATGTTGTTTCTTTTCTTATGTTGATTATATAATAATAATTATTAATACTGCGGTAACAAATTGAAATTGTTAACATTTACAAACCACAGAAAAACAAAACAATTTTGTTGCGTCGTTCTTTCCTTATTTAGAAATTTCGTTAAAATTTCAAAAACTATAAATGTTTTTTTTTTATGAATGCAAATATTACAAATAAATGTATTATATCAATGGTTTTTAAGTGAATCTAAGAGATTCCGAAGAACTGTCAAGTGAAATTGATTTATTGATTGATTGATTGATCATCAACCTGTTTAGTCCAACGACTAATTTGTCATTCAATGTAGAAATGTGCAACGCGTGAAAATGTTTACGTCGCGTACATTTCTCACTTTATTTTTGATTTCTCATTCTTTATTTTTTTTGTTTTTGTTTTCTTTCTGCTCGTTTCTCCGCAATAAAGGAAATATGTGCATTAGGCGTTTCGATAAAGTCGTTATTTACGGACACATTTGTCGTGCCGTGTACGTATAATATTATTATTTACGGCTACATTGTCCGGATCAGCGGTAAAATATGTTAGAAATGCAAACCTCTCCGGCGTTTATAGCAATATTAAAGCCGAGTTTATACCTCATTGTTTCCCTGCGAACATCTGATGATAATTCAATTAGCAATCGGCGATCCGCAGCGTGCGGAATTTTTACGCAATTTATTATTGTTTATTAACGCTTTCTCGATGTAGAGAAAATACTAACAATTTATATATATATATATAATTACTGCTTGTACGTCTATAATTAATTTCAAGTAATAATTTTGTACATATAAATTATTTAATTAATGTTTCAATTAAATTTCGATTTTTGATGCATGTTTGAAAGCAATTATAATTGATGTTTCGTAATTCAATGATGACAATTTGTTTCAAAATAAAAATGCGTAACGATTTCAATTCTGGCAATAACATAAATGTATTATCGGATTATACATTTATCTGGAATTATTACACGCATTATATGATGGATGTTCGATGAAGTCACGTTTTGCGATTAGGTTTTTTCAATTGAAAAAGTCGAAAACAACGGAAAGTGTTTTGCGATAATCCATCACGTTTTTGCAATCTCCACCATCGTAACAAACGTCACATAGATTCACTTTAAGTATCGTTATGAAAGAGATGAGAAACAAACAGAAAGACGACGTATGTTTATCAATTAATTACGCGGTTTCCTTTTTGTTTGATTGTCGTTTTTGCGGTTTTCTCGGGTTTTCCGTCGGTTTTTCTATAGCGAAGCGCCGTATGCGCAATCTAAACAGTTCTATTTCCGGATGTGTTAATATTTACGAAATGCTCGACTCGATAGACCATGTGAATCGCGTTCGAATGAATGGATGAAAGCAAAGCGATGATGGTCGGTTTGCTATATTTTTATTTGGTGCGAATCGATAAAATCGCCTCTGTTATCAAATGATGTGTATTTTCCCGGTGCGTCGCGATGCCATCATCTCTCTCTGTTTCATCTCGTGCAGATTAGATGGAGAGACAAATATTTTGCTAGCAAACATTGGGTTTGCACCAATCTTCAATCTGAGCGAAGATCAACATCATATCGTTTTCGTTGAAGTCGTCTCCTTCGTTTAATTTCATCCATCCATTCATTTCCACCCACACTCACGTCTCCCCCGCAAAGAAAACACAATCAACGTAGAAGTGTGTGGATGAAAGCGAAGCGCGAAATGGGATCTGTCGTTAATGATTGCGCGCGATAAATTTAACGGGTCGCTATTTGTCCGTCTCGCAATTAAACAACTTGTCGCAATGAATTTAATTGATTCATTTGCATCTCTCGAAGACCAGACTAGGCCGCTCCCGCACGCACCGGATATACCAACTTGTATGTGATCTCTTCTTCACCTTACGCACTTTGTCCCATCGACGATCTCTGCAAACTGCAAACTTTCCTTCTTCTACGTGTCGATGCCGGACGTTCTTCGGTTCCGCAACTACTGTGGAAGCGTCCGAACGAGGCAAGCGAACTCGCTAGGAGCGTCGCGACGCCCTCGGCGCAGGTGGACGTCGACGCGAAGTACTTTCGAAATTGTTTTCGCCTTCCTTCAATTCATTTATTCTCTCGCTTCATTTGTTTCCGCCGTCTGTGAAAAGTTAAACAAATGTTCGTTTTTGTTCCAATAAATTCTGCCTTTTCCCTTCTCAAAACAAGTTATTCGAGCGTTGCATTTTCTTAATTATTTTCTTGATGATTTATAACTAATTGAAATATTAAATTTAATTGCAAATCTAATTAATTAATTTGTAGTTTAAAACGCAGTATTCTTGCAATGATTCTCGTCGACATTGGATTCTAATGTAAACGGATTCAAAGCTTTGAAGATTCCGCATTGTGAATAATCTAACTGTCTGATGTAAATTCGCTTGCAAGCACGAATGTTGTTGTTTCGATTTAAATGTGAAGAGAGAGAGAGAGCCGCCCTTTTATAAAAGTAAATAACGTTTTACCGTTACACGCAGTCTAGACGTTTAATGGCTTTCCAAAAGTCTTTTGATGTTAATAATACTGCCACCCTGTCGTATCGATGATGGCTGTACGTGATTGGATCTTAAAATCTCATTAATTTCTCAGTAATAATGTTTAGTTTTACTACAATAACAAAACGATGACAAATTATTCTTAATTATATTATATGAATTTGTGAAGTAGCTTTGTCAATGTTTTCAGTCTGTTTCGTACAACCAATAGTAAATTTTATGGTTTGCTCGTAAAAGCAAATAATCTTTCGCCTCTATTCATATTTCCACATGAATTATTAATGCTTCGGCATTTCTTTTTGTCTACTTATGATGCAATGTGGAAATGGCTTTTGCTGTAAACTTTTCTTTTTCTTTTTTAAATTATTTTTAGGCAACTAGACTCTTGCAAGGTGGAGGTGGTAGGAAGAGGCAAGAAAGAAAGAAAAAAGTGGGTTTGTTTCCAGTTTGAATGATTTTAATTCGTTTCCCTGGTTCGTCCATCGCGTGTCCTCTTGTTAAGAGTAGTAAGCCAATAAAATAGCGACAACAGTAACAGTTGACGATCAAAATGAAAAAAAAAATAACCAGACAAATGCCGTACGCTTGCTTCTCTTTTTATACATTAAATAATAATTTATACAGGGTACAAAAAAAAAATAAAATAATAATAATAGATTATACAATATACAAAAATATGTTTTTTTTTATCACTTTATATATATATATATGTGGGAATATATATATAGGTATGTACATGGAATGTGGAGAATTTACAAATTTTGGGGGGGGTCATGGTTGAAAATTAAAGGGAGGGGGGGTAAAAAACAAAAATAAATAATGGAGATTTTTAGTTGTTTCGTTTTTGTTTAGTTGGGGGAGGGGGGACATTAAATGTCGAAAATGTGGAGGGGGTTTGGGGGTGTTCGAAACAAATATTAATAATATAAATAATGTGTGTAAACGTAATAATAATTAATTTGCTAATTATTAAATCACTGGCCACTTGATTTAAGTTTAAAAGGGAAATTGTTTATGTTCATGTGTGTGTCTCTATTTGTATCACTTGTGCATATGGGACGGGATGAGGTGGTCGCCGAAGAAGTAAAGTATCCTGGCGTACCAATGCACCCCGACGGTCGTCGGAATTGTCGTTGCGGTCGTCGAGCTCCGTTGGAACGGTCTGCTGATGGTTTTCCAGATGTGCAAGGCACCGTTCTTCCAATTGTTAACGAATCGGAGGGGCGCGAAGACCCAGTGAGCGAGACCGGCGTCGTCGATCGTAGCATAGCAGGAGGCGGCGACACCATCGACGACGACCGTCCCGGCGGTCGTCAGAGGCGCGTACACACCGATTCCACCCACTTGCTGTACCCCGACCACCGCGTCCTTCACCAACAAGTCACTGCCGTCGTGGTCCTCGCTGACCAGCAGCTCGGAGCCGATCTGTAGAGTGTCCGCGTACACCGTGACCGTAACGTTAGAGCGCACCGTCAGCACCAGGTGAGCGGGAGTCACCGTCAACCGCTTTCCGGAAGCCAACTCGAACTGGAGGAATTGCCGCCTCTCCTGCGGACTCCTATCCAAGAACAGCATCACCTCGCTGAACACCGTTCTCCCGGTGCTCCTCTCAACGGCCATCACCCTCTCTCCGATCATCAGCTCGGACATCCTCTTCGTCTCCCCGGACTCCAACGTCACGCTGCTCTCCCCGGTGAAACATCCACCGTATTTGGCAGCTTGCGAGGATTCTGAAACACGCGCAAGAGAAGAGAGGAATTAGCATTAGAAAATTGAGCAAATCCTGAGAAGCAATCGCGACTTGCGTGCACGTACATAATAGAGAAAAGAAAATG